AGCTGAGACCACCTCTGGAGAGAATAGAGAGGTCGCCAAAGACTGATCACACCCCAGCCTAGGTCCTTTGCTTTGGTTCTGTGGTCAGTTAAGAAGCTCGAAGATGCTTGTATAATAAGAATTGCACTTTGGTTTACAGATGGGACACATAGAAGAAGCATTCTCTCCCAAGTTGGCTTGAAAACAGCGTCTCCAGGGCCCCACATAATTCAGAGTGGCCACGTGGCCTGATGCCCTGGGGCCTGTGGTAGGCGGTCAGTGATTTCCTGCAAGGATGGGTATGGCAGGGGAGTGGGAGACCAACACTGTTACTGGTGTCAGATATGGTCTGCCTGACCCTCTCTCTTACATGCACACACACAGAAAGGGTTCAAGGAATGCTGAGTGTGGTTTGTTACTGGTTCAAACTCACTTCAACCCTGTGTGCATCGGAACCAAGAGCTGGCCCTTATGATTGCCTGTATGTTTCAGTCCATCGCTGTAACTACTGAAGGTCTCCCTTGTTGAGCCTCTACTACTTCAAACACGATGTCGTCAAGTGTCCGATCCTCTTGATGACATGCCAAAACGAAGCAAGTTGTACTGTTACGTTTAAGATTTTCATTGGTTAATGGTTGGACGTATACACTAGACCTCTCTTCCTAGTGTGCATGGAAACTTTGCTAGAAACTGTCCACCATGGCGACCCTGATGGTATTTGAAATATCACTGGCATAGTGTCTAGCAGCAGAGCAAAATGCGGCAAATTGACGCGGTTGACCAGCTTCACGCGCGTCTGCGCACTCGACACGATAGCTTTCCATTGGAGGGGGCAGGCCTGAAGTCCGCGCCTGCGCACTCCACACGAGCCGCATGGTCATTGGGCAGGTTCCCGGTTCGCGCAGGCGCACTCGCTCCGCGGCTTTTTTTTTTCTCTTTCGGGTGGGCGAGGCTGTGGCCTGTTTGCTGTCCCCGGAGGGAGTGTGGCGGCAGGTGGGTGGGCGCGGGCCCAAGCTGTTTTACAGGGCGGAGGACGTGCGGCGGGGGTTGCTGCGGGGCGGGCGGGCCGGGACCCTACAGTCGGAGGTGGGCGGCCCTAACGCTCTTGGCCGAGCGGACACCGGAGGCGGGGCTCATGGGGTAGGTGCTGCTGCGCTCGCTCCGTGGGCCGGTCACTGGCGCACGGTCTCGGCAGAGCCGTCCTTAAACGAGATGGGCCGGCCTCTCGAGGAAAGCAGTTCTTCCGTTTGGGGTTTAGAGCAGGTCTCACTCGGTCACCTTTGCATAATGTGAAACCTAATGTGCGGTAAGGCTGGTGGTCTAGTGATGAGGAGCTGCACCGCCAACCCAAAGTGGGCAGTTCGAATCCAAGATCGGCTCCGCGGGAGAAAGATTGGACAGTATCGGACCAAGTGATTTACGACGTCTGAAAACCCATGGGAGGGTCATCTGTGAGGCGGCACCAAGCCTGCAGCAATGGGGGGTAGCAGTGTTGCATGGTTTTTCTTTAACAGTTTGGCCTATGTTTTGTAAATAGCCAAATTTGCATGTGGGATGAAACAATTGTAGAGTGGTTTGTTTGGCACTTTGTCTTCCTGGCACCCTTCCCTTCTCACCTGCTGTGCCTGGATACAGGTGTAGGAGTGGGGGCAGGTGGGCCCCAAGTAGGAGTGTTGGGCTGGGGGGAAGGCCCCAGTCACAGATATTGGGAGAGTGGGGGGCCCCAGGCACAGAAGTTGAGAGGGCAAGGCCCCAGGGAGGTAGAAATTGAAAAGTGGCCTTTTTTTGGGGGGGCTGCACCTGGGGAAGGACTGGAGTGAGCACCTCTTTCATGAGGTGTATTGCTGCCTCCACAAATGCTGCTTTCCACTTGGACACAAGCCGCTTCAGTTGTTGATGAGTCTTCTCTTCCTCCAATCCTGATGGCACCTCTTCCTATAGTACTCACACACTCATTCATTGCCCTCAAGTCAACAACACACAGCTGACCTTCCAATGGATTTTTCAGAGGCTGTAAATAGTACGGGAGGAGATTGACCTTTCTTCCATAGAACAGCTGCTGGATTTGAACCACTTGCCTTTGGGTTGGAGCACAACTTCCTACTAACTAGGTCACCAGAGCATCCCTAAATATAGTCCAGATTATCAAATTATTTGCTCACCATACAGACTGAATTTTTGTTAAGTGCCGTTGAGTCAGGTATGAGTCATAGTGACCCTCTGAAAAGCTTATCAATCCTGTGCCTTCCTTATCATCTCTCATCCCTTTGCTGTAGACACTGTGTCAATCCATCTCGTTGAGGGCCTTACTCTTTCACTTTTCACTGACACTCCACCTTTCCAAGCATGATGTCCTTTTTTTTTTAAATTTATTTTATTATTTTTGTGTGAGTGTACCGTCAAATCAAATCTGACTGGTACAGGAGGAGATTGTCCCTCCTTCCCCGGCAGAGCATCTGGTGGATTTGAACCGTGCGCCTCTGGGATTGTAGTTGCAGCTCCTTGCCACTAGGCCACCAGAGCTCCCCTATGATGTCCTTTTTTAAGGAACTCCAAGACATGTGTTTATTGTTTTGGCAGTCCATGGGGCACTCAGCTTTATTTCCCAACACCACAGCTCAATGACATCAATCTTCTGTCATCCTTCTTCATTGTCCAGTACTCAGATGCATAGCAGGTGACTAAAAAGAACATGGTTGATCGGGTCTTTAAGTGGACATTATTGCTCTTTAGTAGTTGGAGAGGACCCTGACAACGTATTTTCCCAGTGCAATATGTCTTTTGATTTCTTAACTCTGGTACCGCTGGTACAGAGAAAACCCTATGAGCAAGAGATATGGTGAAAGGCTACTACAACCCTAATGCACACCTTTCTTGTTATTAAATCCTTGTTATATTTAAAAGAATCGTTGATTCTGTACAGGTTCCACATGAGCATGATGGAGTATTCTAAAATTCCTATTATCAGTGTTATCCATAATTTATTATGTTCCACACAATAGAATGCCTTTGCATAGTGAATAAAACAGAAACATTTTTCTTGTATTCTCTACTTTCAGCCAAGACCCAGCTTGAATTTCTTAAATTTCCTGTCAATAATACTGTAATAGCTGTTTAATAATCTCCATCAAGATTCTGCTTGTGTGTGATACGAATCATATTGTTTGATAATTTCTGTGTTCTCTTGAGTCACTCTTGTTTGGAACTCTTAGCATCTGTTGGCCAAGAAGCTGTCTATCAAATTACTTGTCATAGACAACTGAGCATGTTCAAGGCTGCATATGTTTGATGAAGCATTGCAGTTAATATTCTATCAGTTCTCCGAGCCTTGTTTGTTGTCAATGCCTCACTGCAGGTTTGACTTTTCTGTAGTATCATAGGTGATTAATCATGTACTACTTACTCAAATGATTGACTGTTGGCCATTTCCCTTTTGATGCTCTCCACATCCTTCAGTATTAAAACTCGAGGCTTGAATTTGTCCTTCAGTTTTTTTCTATGTGAGCAATGCCAAGCTTGTTTTGCTTTTTGGTTTTCTAATTATATCTTTGCACATTTCATTACGATGCTTTTGTCTTTTCATGCTGCCCTTTGTAATCTGTTCATAGTTCTCTTATTTTGTAATTTCCTTCTGTTTTAGCTTCTCTATATTCAAACACAGGTTTCAGAATCTGTTCTGACATCTATTTCGGTCTTGTCTTTTTTTTCTTGACCTTTTTTCTTTGTGCATGATGGCCTTGATGTTATTCCCCAGCTTGTCTGGTCATTAGTGTTCAGTAAGTCTCCTGGTTAACAGCCATCCATTTGTGCCCTTACTTAACAAGATCAACAATGGCTGATCTTTTTTGAAGTCAGCTCCTAGACCTTTCTTCATTGCTTAGTCAGGAAGCCCCACTGAAACCTGTTCAGCAGCATAGAAGACGCCACTAACAGATGGTTGATGGTTGTGTGTGGGATGCAATGGCCACAAGTTAAACCAAGGATTCCACCATGGAAAATGATCTTTCTACTACAGAACATGACTTCTGCACCAATTGTCAGTCTGTTTTGGGCTGTCCTCAGTCCTCCTGAGACCTACTTATTGAGGGCCCAGTTTTGAGGACAGATCTACAGCTGTGAGAGGAGAGTCATCCACTCCATTGGGAGCAGAGTTTTTCCTTGTCCACCCTATGTTGGTCAGAGGACAGATCCCCTTCTTGGTGAGACTTCAGAGCACAGAAATAGCTGTTTACTCTGATTTGCTTTCCTCTAAAACCACATTAGAGTGTGTAGACTACTCAAGTCCTTTGAGAGGCTTGCGCCCCCCCCCCAGTCTTCTCCCTTCTCCAGCCTTCACCCCAGGCTGTTGCCTCTCTCAGCATGGGTGAGTTCAGAAACCCTCAGCTCAACATTGGTGGTATCCCTCCCTCCCTGTTCTTACGAATTCCCTGATGCTGCTTCAGCTTCCAAGCTGTTCTCCATAGTTCTGCCCTTGACTGCTTTTCACTGTACATGAGATTCCTTAGCCTCATCTGCCTAGGAAGAGTGTGGCAATGGGGAGGGGTAGCACTTTTATGGAGTGGGGCCCTATAGGTAAGGAAGTGTGTGGCCCTCGTAAAGGCTGGCCCTGTGCCACCCACTTAGCCTTCCAGACATTACCATGTGCTGACAGTTCCTGCATCCCAGCACAGCTGCTTCCTAGAACTTGTCCCGGTTGCCCTTGGGATCACTGTCTCCTTTGTGCTGGCATCCCTGCCTTCATCCCCGTGCTCAGCAGTAAGCTGATGGCACTGTGCTTCTGCTTAAGAATATACAGACCCCTACTCCCACCTCCATAGGGCTCTTCAAGTCGTCACTGGCCATGTGGGTTTTCAGCCCTATGGGTAAAGGTCATCACTTTGGGCTGCCACTTGCTAAGATGGAGATGGAGTGTGCCTCTCTCCCTAGGGACCTGGGCACGATCCAGGTGAATGCCAGCCCGCCCAGTGGCAGCCGCCGTGTGACAGGCCTGCAGGACCCAGGTCACCTGAGCTGATCATCTCATGGAGTCGCAGGGCAAGAAGCTGGGTGAGGGAGATGGAGGCCGGGTCACAGCCCGGCTGCTTAAGGCACACACCGGAGAGTTTGCCCTGGACTCCATCCTGCTGCTCAAGCTGCGAGGCCTGGGGCTGGTGGACCTGGGCTGCCTGGGAGAATGCCTGAGCCTGGAGTGGCTGGACTTGTCAGGTAATGCACTCACCCACCTGGGCCCCCTGGCTGCCTTACACCAGCTGACTGTGCTTAATGTCTCCCACAACCGGCTGACGGGGCTGGAACCTCTGGCTGCCTGTGAGAGCCTGCAGAGCCTCAATGCTGCTGGCAACCTGCTGGCCGGTCCAGGGCAGCTGCAGTGCCTGGTGGGGCTTCGGAGTCTGGAGAACCTGAGGCTCCAAGATCCCCTGGCGCGGCTCAGCAACCCCTTATGTGCTAGCCCCTCCTACCGTGCAGTGGTCCTTGAGCTGCTACCTGGCCTGAAGATCATCGATGGAGAGCGTGTGACAGGCTGTGGCAGTGAGCTCTACCAGCTGTGCAGAGACCTGGACAATTCCTTGCAGCCGAGCCCTTGCCCGAGCTCCCGGGCCACTGAGGCCCAGCCATGGGTAGAGCCTGGCTACTGGGAGTCCTGGCCTGCGAGGAGCAGCTCCATCCTGGAGGAGGCTTGTCGGCAGTTCCAGGCCACACTGCAGGAATGCTGGGACCTGGACCACCAGGCTGATGAGAGCCTGGCCCAGGCTGAGCAGGCACTAAGCCCGGCGAGAGCCCCTTCCTCCTTTGTGTTCTGAGCACCCCTGACGGGCTTTCTCCAACGGCTCCTAGCAGGTGGGTTTCCAGGACACCTGTGGGGTACACCTAGGAGAGTCCAGCCTCCTTCAAGCCCCTGCTTCCCAGGCCCATGGTGAGGGATGTGGAAGTGAGAGCCATTCCTGGCAGGGAATACCTTTGTGAAGTGGGAGCTCCCTCACCCCTCGTGTTCGGAGAGCCCTATTAAAGCTTTGTCTTTGCTCGTCAGTCTCACTTCCTGTGGGCAAGGTCCAAAGAAAGGGGTTGAGAAGTAATGCTGCTTAGTGGCCCCCACGCCTGGTTGCAGGACCAACCCCCATACTTCCTGGGGGCACTCTCAGCCCTCCTTGTGTGAGTAAAGGTCTCTGGGTCCATCCTCCAGACCAGGACTGAGGCAAGGAGAGGATGAGCCAGAGGAGATCTCCTTTATTAGTCTGGGATGGACACTCTTATCCAGACACAGGGAGAGGTGGTGGCACCACTGGTCCAGGAAGTGGGGGAAAATTCTAGAGGAGAGATGGCCATGGTGTGAGGGGATATCCTTGCACCTAGCCTCTTTGATCCATGTTCCCAGGCCCAGTGGCCAACCCTTCCTGCTTTTACCCTGGCTCCTACCTGTCCAGGGCTCATTCTTGGGGCAGGGCCTTGGAGAAGGCAAACTGTCCTGGAAAGTAGTAGCTGTGGGGGTCCTCGCCGGCCCGCTCCACGTGAGTGCACATATCATCCTGGTGCATCTTAGGCTTCTGCAGTGGGAGCAGGTCATTGACGTTTAGGGCAGACACCAGCCACTCCGTGACGCCCTCCATTCCCAGGGCAGATGTTGGCCAGGTCCAGCTGGACCCTGGCTTAGTAAGTCCTTACCCGAAGAGACTGCGTCATGATGGGGCAGTAGACCATGCGGCCCAGAACTCTGTCCTCAGAGCCCAGTTTGAGGCAGGCCAGACATTTCCGCTTCCTCTGGGGAGAGAGGATGAATGTGGGAGGTCTGGGCTCCTCAAGGACAGAGACCAGTGCCAGCTGCTTTCTCAGGGTGACTGTGGGTACCAAAGGTACCATCCTGCCCCTGCAGACCTATTTCCAGCACAAGTGACCACAGCTTTCATTTTGGGGTATGAGGTAGGGCCATGCACCTGTGAGTCCGACCCCTTTGGGTAGCTCTCCAAACAACAACTCTGGTTTGCCTTTACAGCACATGCACAAACATGCCTTAGAAGACGCTGCTGTCCAGGGCTAGTGATAGCCCGGCTTGACAGATCGCATCCTGCAGTCCCAGAGCAGCCAGTCTGGGCATCTGCATTTGGACATAATGGAAAACAGGAATTCACCAGACCACTTCCATGCTATGGGCTCCTTCTGTGAGTTCTGATGGACGATGGGAACCCCAGCTCTGATAAAAAAGTGTTCATAGGACAACCCAGCTTCTCCCTCCCTGCTCACCTACAGCCTGGCCTGGGGCATCCTGATGCACAGTCACGTGCATACTGGCACACACGTGTGAGCAGTCAGGTACGCACACGCACACTGGTCCTCACCCCATTGGGCTTGACTTTGCATTCAGGGTTCTTCCAGTCCTTCTTCCGACAGCTGGTCTGCTGGAGTTTGAACTCCAGCCTCACAAAGATGCCTGCTGGGAATGGCTGTAGGCAGACAAGAGGACCAGCAAGCAGCTAGCTGGGGTGTTAACACAATACCTGGACTCTTCTGCCCCTACTCGTTCAAGTCCCCAGCACTTTGCAGTTGTGCTCTCCCTCCCAAGAATGTTCTGGTTTCCAGGGTGGGGCCCTAACCCCACACTCGCCCACTTTCCCAGCTGCTCCACTACCGTGTCCTCAGCCTTGTCCACGCTGGTCTCCCTGAAGGCCCACTGCAGAGGTGAGTGCTGGTGGAACTCAGCCAAGGCCACCTGCAGACCGCGGTGCTGGGCCTCCGAGAGCTTGGCCCCTTTCAAGCCCAAGGCACACAGGCCCAGGGCCAGCACGATTAACAGTCTCCTCATCTCTGCGCCCTGCAAAGGGGGCAGATCCTCAGCCCTGCCCTGGCATCTGGCTGACTGACCAGGGCAGATGTGACCATCTGAGGACAGCCCTCCCCACCCCAGCCCCCTGAAATCAACAAGAGGGTTTTTCCAGCCCCTGGATCCAGTCACAGCTACATGTGGTTGGTTCTCTTCTGGGCAGATGAAACACTCCCTTTCCTGTGGACTGATCCTAGGGCCTTTCTCCTCTGGCCCTCTTTGGCCATGTTTGCCTTCACTCCTGGCCTATCAATCTCTGGCCCCATGGGGTTATGGCTCAGCAGCTCAGGCTTCCAGAAGGATTGGGTTGGGAGGGGAGGGACAGGATATTGGCCAGAGATGGAATATTTTGGAGAGGAAACAAGTGGGAGGAGCTGAAGGAGAAGTGAGGGTCCTGAGGACTTAACCCTCCTTGTGCTGGGGCAGCCCATGCCTCCAGCCCTACCTGGTTCCACCAGTCCCACCCTTGTCCCCACCAGCCCTACCCCTGTCCCCAGAAGTGAGTCCCACTCCCGCTGACCCTGCCCCTTCCTCCAGCAATGGGGTCCCACCTCATCAGGTCCCAGAGTTTCCAATGGCAGCCACACGGCCCTGTTGCCTTTTTCTGCCCCTTGGACCTTTCCTAGCCCTTTTCCTGACCCTCTTGCTCCCCGGCTCAGTAGTTGAGGTTGGAGGGTCACCCTCCCTGAGATCCTGTACCAGTTGTCATAGGGCCAGAAAGCCACAGACCCAAGACAGGCCTCCAGGGGAAAACAAAAGGTGCCTGCACAGTTTGTAAGTTTCTGGGACGCCCGGGTTCTCACAATGTGATGGCTGGTCTATCCGTGTGCTCCTGTAGGCCCGACTGCCTGCCGGAGGCCTCCACCCAACAGTGGCCACCTCCCATCCCCACAGTCGGCCTCCTTCTCGGGCCCGCCCCCTGCCTGCCCTCTGTTCCCGCGCCAGAGCCTTCACCCTCCTCCTCCCAGTCCACCCGCCTAGCTGGACTGTCCCCCACCTTCGGGGCCTAACAATTTGGAGGTTTGTGGGTGCCCCAAGATCTCCGGGTCAGCCTTCTGGCCCACAAGCGGCTGGCCAGTCCATTAACCCCTCTGGTAGAAGTCCCCTCAGAGGCTCATTTTAGGAAACCATCCTAGAGACTTGAACCCTTAAGCCAGATGAAAGCCTGAACCGACTGTACCATCCTTTTCTGCAGCCAGGTGCCAAGGGGAGCATACTTTTAAAGGCAGAGTCAGGTAGCGGACAACCCCAGAGTCTGGGCCAACCTTGACCTGGTGCTTTCCTGAGCGAGTCCCTCCATTTGGGGAGGCCAGTCCCTTAGCCCAGACACTGGTGAGTTCGTGTGGGAAGTGAGAGAGACAAAATCTTGTCAAAATAACACCTTAGTTCTGAGTTGTACTTGAGCTGAGCTCTGGGGTTTGAATAAGAGTGACAGCAACAACTTCTCTTTGTTTCTAGGTAAATGTAGTCATTTGATTTAATTTACTAAGTCCTTCTAAACATCTGTAGATTGATTTATAAAATGGGGGCAATAAATCGTATCTTAGGGAGAAATTTTATTTCATTTATTAAAATATTTTTTAGTAAATGATTACAAATCATACAGGTTTCTCACTCATTCAAAGGTATTTTGTTTTATTAATTACCATTGGCTAATTAATTCATTATGTCTAATCAGTACCTTATTGTAGCTTGCCTTTCCCTTCAATCAGCTTACCTAATTCCCTTTTACTCCCCTTTCCCTCCCTTCATCCCTATAACACTCTGAGATTGATTCTGTGTGTAACACTTTTCTTACTTTTTATAATAGTGGTCTTATATTTGTCTTTTTAATGACTGATTGAGACCATCCAGCATAATAGGTCCTAGATTCATTCAGGTTTTAAAGTATTACATGAATTCTTGATCCTTTTTTTTCAGTGACTTCATTATGTGAATGTCTCATATTTGGGGGTTTTTTTTTAGCCTTTCATCTGTTGATGTACGCTTTGAATATTTTATAACACTTTGCTATTCTAAATAATGTTGCAGTAAGCCTGGAACTGCATACATACACATTAGTTTATGTCATTGTTCTTTTTTTCCTTTGGTATATGTACTTTAATAGTAGTATTGCTGGATCAAATTCTATTTCTATACCTAAGTTTCCAAGGGAGCAGCAAACTGCTTTCCTACCAGCAGTCTATATGTATTTCAGTCTCTCCACGACAATTACAGTTTGCAGTCCTGTTGAACTTTGCTCTTGTTGCCAGGCTGAGATATCTCAGTATTGTTTTGATTAGCATCTCTCTAGTGCAGAACAGATCATTTGAGAGGCTGGACTTTGATTTGTCAAAAACTTGTGTTATGCAGATGATGTAACCTTGATTGCCTAAACTGAAGAGAGCTTGAGACACTTGCTGCAGAAGATCTGGATTGTATCTCAACATTAAGAAAACAAAAATAGCCTTTTGGCTGGAACTGCTATCTTGCCAAAATGATGAACAAAAAGGGAAAGAGGAGGGGCACCCACTATATTCTCACAGCCCTTTAGGAAACATGGAGTTGTTCCTTTGGCCACTTATCCATGAATCTCCCAAGAAAGGAGAGATTGTAGGCATGAAGGGAATGAGCACTGTTCAAAAGGAATACACCACAAATGTTGCCATGTTAAAACTGGAAGAGTCTGCAATGTTCCCAGCATTGGCATTGTGTACACAAGAGAACTAACATACAAATTGAGTATATTATGCACTCTTAAGAGCAGAGACAGCTTCCTGAAGTGTGTGAAGGAATATGATCAGAAAAAGAAGGAAGTCAAGGAGAAAGGCATTTGGGTCCTCCTGAAGCTCCAGCCTGCACCCCTCAGAGAGGCACACTTTGTGAGAACGAATAAGGACCAAAGAAAAGACGAGTTGAACTGGGAAAATGTGCTGTCGAGGACCTCTGTAGAGTACTAAAGAGCAGTGGTATCCTTCTAAAGACTTAAGGTGCACCAGATTCAAGCCATGGTCTTCTCAGTTGCTTGCTTGCTGTGCATCTGAGAACTGGACAATGACTAAGGAGGGCAGAAGAAAAATCAATGCCTTTGAGTTGTAGTGCTGGAGAAAACTACTGAACATAACAGACTGCCAGGAGAACAAGCAGGTCTGTTCTGGAGAGGATGAAATGTTGCTCCTTGGAGGCAAGAATTTTTAAACTCTTTCTCATATACTTCAAGCATGTTGTCAGAAGGGACCACTCCTTGGATAAGCACATCATGCTTAGAAGGGTAGACAATAAGCACAAGAGAGGAAAACCCTGCATGAGGTGGATTGACGTAGTGACAGTGGCAGTGGAGTCAATTGTGACTTAACATTTCTGAAAACCTGCTGGAAGGTCAGTTATAAATTGGTTCTAACTTGATGGTACTCCGCCACAGCAGCAACACATTTTATAATTAAGTTGTCTTTTTCTTATGCGGTGTTAGTGTTCTAGAAATTTTAGTTGTGTCCTTAAGGGCTTTTTTTTTTCTTTTTTGAGGGTGAAATGAGAAAATATGTGAAAAGTGACTGTTCCAGTGTCTGACACTCTCTGCTCTTCCACAGTCACCCACCTCTACTCCCCTCCAGGATCTTAGTATCTTTCAAGCTGAGAGCTTCCTTTATAATGTGATGTGAGAAACCAGGAACATCTTTGGTTTCATTGGACCTGAAACCCTGTCTGCATCCCCTTGGCTGTGAGTTACTCAGTTCTCACTATTAAGCAGAGGAAAAGTATGTGGACCGTGTTTTCCTAAAACTAGATGGTTTAGAGAGAAAAAAAGTGCAAACACCAAGAGATCTCATCGCTCACAGCCTCTCAGATGCTTCATTTTATGTGTCATTTCAAAATAGGGATTAAATACTCAACATTTAGTTCTTGGTTTTGGAATATGAATGGTTCTAACTGTTACCTGTCATATCTATGGCTACCTTCATCTACAATCCATTCCATATCTTCTCAGCAAGCACTTCAGTTGGTCATAGGTATCTACCTATGTAATGGAGTGATCCAGTTTTAACTCTGGGGCTTTAGTAGTCCTGCCTGAATTGCATTGTTGTAGTTTCCCATTGACTTTAATCATAGTATTTTGTAGTACTGAAAGATACCGTAAAGGGGTCCCCTGTATCTCAGACAAGTCCTTTCTTACCTCTGTTGTTGCCAAGTCCATGCATAACTCCTTTCTCTGTCACCATGGCCACTTTGCATAAACCCATTGGCAGGAAGCCTGTGGGAAAGGCTTCCTGGTATTCACACAATGAACCACATTGTCTACTTGACTATGAAAATCTTCTACTGAGGTTCCTCTACGGTGAGTTTTACGTGGGACACACATCTTCACTTTTTGCTCACTCAGAAAAATGTGTCCACATACTTCACCATACCTCTATGTCCCTGATTTTTCTTTTATAATTTAGTTTGTTTATTTTTCATTTCAATGAACATCTACAGAGATTTTGAAATTCCATTCATTCATTGTTGCACCCTTCTCAGTCACAAATGGACAAATGCTATATGGTGCCACTGTTGTAGAATGAGGCTGGCATTGGGATGGGGGTAAGACTGAGAAAAACTGCATGAAATATGTTTACGGCATTGAAGTCTATGGGGGAGAGAATAGTCCCTGATTTTTGAATTGTGTTTCTTCCAGGTCACTGACTATCCAACCAAATAATTGGCCACAGCTCATAAATGAGCATTCATTCCTACCTCTGGACATTTCTTCTTCCAAGGAAGAGAAACAATCAGGCACTGCTTCAAGATCTGTCTGCCCATGAGAGGGGTGGAGAGTACAACCCTGACACATTCCCATTCCATTCTTAATGTGAGAAGCCTGTTGTTCTGTGCCGTCAAGTCACTTGTGACTCATAGTGATCCAATGTACAACAGCTCTGAACCCTGCTCTGTCTTGAGCCAACCTCATTATTTCTGACACACCTACCCCCAATACCCTAGTCAGTGAGTCAATCCATCTCATCCAG